TTTCCAGTAAAGGAGAACTTTCTCTGAAATTCATGCTATAAAAAGCATCACGTGTCTTTCTCAATTCTCTTCAACTTACCTAAACAACTGTAAGTTGCAGGGAAGCATAAAATGGTTTGAAGATGGCATGAAGTGGAGGGACAGCAGCACTAAACATCAGAAGAACCAAACATGACAATTTTTGGCACTTCAACCAAGCAATTAAAAGACTAATTTTAGTTTCCTCTTGCCCATTTCTGAAGGTACACATTTTTTCTTGCATGTTTCTTGTTCAATGGCATAACAAAGAAATTGAACAAAAATGAACACTACAACAAAATTTGCCTCTGAAAGCTAAAAATCTCTACTTTTTCAGATTGATGGGTTTGCATCTGATTTATCATCTCAAATTTATGTTATATTTGGGATAGTTATTTATTGCCTTTATTACACTGATCTGATAGTAAGAATTAGTTTTGATTTAGCCACATAAATCCTACCCCTACCAGGTATCAGCAAGTTAACATTATGTGTCAACATCCACCCACACCCCTGCCCCACACATCTCTAGTCACTTGTATGCCCCAGTTTGAAAACACATATATAGTTGAACATAGAGATGCATCCCTGTTATCCAAACTATTCAGGAGGATGAGGCATGAAAATTGAAAATTCAAGTCCAGCCAGGACTATTTAGCTAGACCCTGTCTTATAGTGAAATAGAAAAGGGTTGCAAAGTAGCTCAGCCATTTCTGGGTTTAATCTCCAGCACTGAGTTGGGGTGCTGGGAGCATGACAACCCATTACAAGAACAGTTTTTTTTTAATTGTCTCTTACTGGCAAACAATGTTTTTTTCCTTTAAAAATTCCTACTTCAGCAGATTAATGAAACACTACCTAATACTGACTACCATGAAATATTACATGACTAAGGAAATCGTAAAATTCTGGGTCTCTGAGACTATGATATTGAGGTGAAAACAGTTGTGCCATTTAGGTAAGAAGGATAGTAGAAAGGAAATTGAGAATTTCATGAGATCTGGTAAAGCAATTTCACCTTTTGAGACCTGATATAAAAATGTATTTAGACAAGAATTTAAGGTTTGTACTGTAAAAATCTTTCAGTCAAATGTATTTTCTAGCACAAAAGGACAAGTACGTAATTATTCTTTTATATTGTAATCAGCTCCCTGTGGGTCCTTGTTCTAAGGCCATGCAGAATGTGACAAAACAGCAGGCAGTGGGGAACACCCAGATGTGTGGTTTGTTAGTAAGAACAGAAAGGAAAACTGACACTATCAGGAGGTGTTATGGTTTGTGTCTGGGTCGCTCCCCAAGCCTCATGCAGTCATGGAGGCAGCTGAGTCTAGTGTTTGTGATTGGTTTGCTTTCTAGCACTGCTGTTGGTGGTGTGAGTGCTGCACCTGCCGAAGGGCAAGTAGCCAGTATATGATATAAGGAAGGAAAGGAGGCATGATTTCCCCTTTTTGTCCTTTTGCTCTTGTTGCTTGTGGCCGCCATAAGAGGTTGCCCCTCATCCATGCCATCCTGCCTTGGAGTCAGCTGACTATGGACTGAAACCCCCCAAAACTGTAAAGTTAGAGTAGGGAAGAGCTTAGATGCTGAAAAGATTAGTACTTAAAATAAGTCAAGTACTTTGGATCAGAACAATAGGAACAATGGCTTGAGAGCATCACATGAACCAAGAAGATCTCACCTTTGCAGGTTTCAAATTGCAAAACTGAAATGAAAAACTGTGCTCTGATAAGGAAGCCTGAGGTTACCATGCTCAGAAAGAGACACCTAGAGAAGTTGTTCCGCAGATTCTATTCACAGTGCTCAGACACTCAAGCACTTGGGGAATGAAGGCAATTATGATTCTAGAGGGTCTGGCTAGTGCTCCAGCTGGTGGCAAACCTTGGTATCATCCATATGGTACTGATTTTATAGGGATACAGACTGTAAAACTTGTTGGGTCAGGGTGACTTCCATCCAGATTTCTGAAGGCCTGGGAAGCCAGGCATACCCCTGAGAGGACAATACACAAAGCTGTGAGAGTGAAACCAAAAGTAAAGTGGAGACTATAGGAAGTTGGAGAAGCCAAGAATGTGAAATATCTGAAGAAAGCAAAAGACAGTGACTAGAATCAGCCCAAGAGAGAGACCATTAGGATTGCAAATAGCAATACTGTAAGAGCAGGGCCACCCAAACTATTGGAGCTCAAATCTGGTCATAAATTGGGGCTGGACACAGCTACAGGATTTAATGTTTGCCCTGCTCAGGCTTGACCTTGTTTGCTTTTATTGGTTTCTATCCTCCATCCTTCCCTTTTGGAATGGAGATATTTAACTTTTGCCATTGCACATAGTAAGTGTTTAACATTCTTCTTGGTTTGTTTACAACCACAGCTAAGAGTTTCTTGAGTCTCAGAGGAAACTTTAGATTTGGGACTTTTCAGCAATGCTGAAACTATTAGGACTTTGGTGACTTAAGGAATGAACTAAACGCATTTTGCATAAAGAGATTTGCATGAGCCTTTTGAGGGTGGTGGCTAGAATGTTATGGTTTATATTACACCACTCCCTTCCCAAAGCCTCATTGAATCATAGGTGAGATTTTTGAAAGGTGGTAGCATTATCAAGTATAATAACTAAATGTGGTGTTTAAAAGGTGGGGGCTGGTCAGAAAAGCCAGGTCACTAAGGGTGTATCTACCACCTCAGGTCTTTTGTTTGCTGTCTGCTTCCTAGATGCCATGAGGTGAGCAGCTTTTCCCCGTGCCATGGAGGGGCATAGCTAGCCCCTATGCCATGTCTTTCTCTTGAAGCCAGACACCTACAGACTCAAAATATGAGACAAAACAAATCTGTCCTTTTTTAAATTGTGGGTGACAAGAAAGTGACTAAGACAAATGGTTTAGTTGTTTGCATATAACCTATGCACATCCATATCTAGATTAACCATGTCTAGATTATGGTGCTTATAACACACAGTACAATGTAAGTGATACACATATGGTTGGTATAATATAATGTATTATTTAGGGAATAATGATACAAAAAAAGAACATGTGCAGCACAAACACAAATTTTTTCCTAAATATTTTTTGATCACATGTTGGTTGAATCTGTGAATGCTGAACTCATGGACATGGAAGTTGACTGCAATAACCATTTATACAGAAGGCTGGAATGGCAAATCAATTAAGGAAATGTTACATTTAGTGGATATGATCATACAGGCAGCAGTTGGGAGAAAAACTTACACTTTTGGGTTATGCCCAACACTGTGACATACATTTTTACTAACAAAGGTAACTTAGTAAAATAAAAGGACTCCATGCCTTTTCCGTTAACTGTGACAGATTGTTTTCCATTTAAACCTAAGATTGTCAGTAAACTTCCATTGGCCACAATAAAATATGCAGCTAAGTTTTTAGTGGTACTAAGAATTGGTGAGATATAGACATTTTGTAAGAATAAACTCAAGAAAGTTAGTATTGTCATTAGTAGGCATCAACCATTACATTCCTCTCAAACTGAAATTTGATTGACTCACATGCTTGAGACTGGTGATAACTGAAAAAACCCAAACATTTAATTGTAACTTATGAGAGCCCAGCACTGTTTAGATTTCTTTATGTAGGTTTGCCTTCTAAAACGCCTAACTGGAGACAAAGTCCTTAAAAAATAAAGTTTGGGTATTTGTTTTCAGATGATTTACTCTCTGTCTAGATTTCAAAGCCTAACAATGTGGAATGAATATTAAATATATGCTTATTATAGAGAGTTTAGATAGTATAGAAAAGCGAAAAGAAATAGAAAACAATATGTAATTTATCAACTAGTGATTTCTTAGTGATTTTTTGAAATTCTGTATTATTTCTACTCTTTTTTGTTTTGCTTTTTTTCCCTTAAATAAAATTTAATAAAAAAGAAAACAAATTCTCCAATCAACTGAAGTTACCACTATAGCTACATTTTGGTTGGGTTCTGTACTTCTTGTTTCTACACTACTTTGACATCCTTAGTTACTTGGATGCATATTTTGAGTATTTCTTTTTAAGTTTTAAGATACGTAGTACTGGATTTTATATACTGCTGTACTTTTTAAAAATTGCCATTATTAAAGACCTTTCCAAACATACACTACATCAACGTGCAGAAGAGAATGGTAGTCCCCAAAAAGAGTAAAATAACGCAAAGATCTGGAAAGTACGGCACACTTATTGATGTGATGGTCAGAAAAACAACGGGCTCCAAAAATTAAGAAGGAAGCGCTTTTATTAGCTGAGCTCAGCAGCGACACTGTCCCGGAAAGCAGTCCGGGAAGCGTGCCCCGAGCAAAGGACTGCAGAGAGTTATAAAGCAGCAAGCTGCAAGGGCAGGGTCAGGGCCTCAGGATCAGTTTGTCTCCATAAAAGGTATTTTGGTTTAGTTTTTAGGAACCAGGGAGGCAGATCAGGCAGTTACAGGAACCAGGGAGGCAGGGAGGAGATTACAAGGTGAGTATGTTGCAAGATTGCAATTTAAATGGCAATTACACAAGTTTTACAGGAACAGAACAAGTTGTCAAGGCACGTTGAATAATAAGTACAGCACATTTTGGGTTTCTCAGCTTATAACAACTGAAAGGCAAGACAGTAGTGCTAAGCAAGAAATGCTGATTCCTCGATGTAGAACAAAACGTGTCACTCAGGTCAATTTAAGTTTACCTTTGCACTAACTGCACTGGCCTCAAATAACCTTGCAGTGACCTTTGAGAAGTTCTGATTTGCTTCAGAGACAGCGTCAGAGTACAGTCTGTCCAGGGTCTAAGCCCCCAACATCGCTGACGTGTGCGGTTCTGGCCAGTGGGTCGCTCTTGCCCCCCACCCAACTTGGTCCTGACAACCCGGAAGCACCCACGACTCAGGCGCTGCGACTACGCATTTACTTTCGCGTCGCGCATGCGCTATCGCGGCCTTTAGGCGCGTCTTCCTTTTCTGTTGACTAAGTACCTTCCCTTTCTTTTCACTGCAGTCTTCTCTCTTTTTCCGGTCTCCCGCCCCTCGGAGGTCCAGCGGACTGCCGCTTCCGGCCATCCATGCCCCGCCCCTTCCGCCTCGCCGGTGGCGGCGGCCCCTGCCCCAGTCTCACCAGGGTCGGGGGCGGGTTCCTTGGGCAGAACACCTGAGCTTGTAGAGCCGCGCCCTGGGGTCCGATGGCGATGAACTGCAACCCCAAGGACGAGGTGGACGGCGGGCCTCCGTGCGCCCCTGGGGGCGCCGCGAAGACGCGGAGGCCGGACAACACGGCCTTCAAGCAGCAGCGGCTGCCCGCCTGGCAGCCCATCCTCACGGCGGGCACCGTGCTGCCGACGTTCTTCATCGTCGGCCTCATCTTCATCCCCATCGGCATCGGCATCTTCGTCACCTCTAACAACATCCGTGAGATCGAGGTGAGCGGCGGGCGGGGTCCCCTCCTCACCGGGTGACAGGCAGCGCCTTCCCTCTCCCAGGGCTTTTTCTGCTGCTCCAGTCTCTGCGCGGCACCCGCGTTTGTAAACTGCATTTCTCTTACTCGGGGTTTGAATAGTTGCAAACTAAATGAATGCAGTAGAAAGTAAGTCAGGTGGAGAATTCATTCAGTGGGCAGTTTGTATGCGTCCCTGGCCTCTGGGTGCTGTTCATTGAGATGAAGAGAAAGGGGTAAAAAATAAGTTATATCAAGATATAACTGGGAAGTAATCGACTGGTTGGGTGATCGTGTTACTACCTGTGTGGGTATTGACCCAGGACACAGCTGAACACGTTGGCCATGGTTGGAAAAGACCCAGAGTCACAGGACTGATGAAGCTTAGTGAAGTCGTGTGTTAGGAGGGCACATATTATATGACTAAGGTGTGCACCGTGCCTTTCAGTTTGAGCTAATTACGTGTTTTTAGGGCATAATACAGATTAAAGCTAGCTGGAAACTTCAGTTCTGGTTTTGCGTAGGCCTTGTTTATTAATGATTATGTCCCACATTCTCTGTATTTTTTTTTTTTTTTGGTCTTAGTTTTTAAACTTGTACAGGAGTCATTGACCACACGGAATAAGTTGTGCACTGTTTATTAAACATTTTACTAGTATTATTTTTACTAAACATTTTAATGATAGATGACAGGACAGAAGTACTTAGATTTTATTGGGGAAACATTTTGATTTCTGATGGAACTGAATCATGATATTTTTATCCAACTGCAGTGGTGAAATTGGATTGATGATACTGCAATGTAAATACTGTATGGTATTCAGTGTTAAACAAATCTTTAATCCTCTTTGTATTCATATCTGAGTGTTTTTATCTGCCGAAAGGCAAAGAACTGATCCCAAGTAATCTTGATTTCTGTTCTATAATATGCATTTATGTGTACAGTTTTTAATAAATATTTACCTAATGATATAATGGGATTCTCAGAATAATTTTATTTTTTAGCTAGGCAAGAAGGGGCACCTTTTTAAAAATTTAATTTACAGTGTTATCTCTCAAAGCAAAATTGACATTTTTAATTGTGCTTTCTTCAGTGTTAATAACAGTGGTAAGAATAGTATCTGCAGCCTAAGTAGGTTTTAAATCTTTCACTAAGAATTTTCAAAATAAGAACTAGAGAAAGTGACCTGTGTGTTTTTTAAGTAAGCTTATTTATTTATTCATCTGTACTGGTCTGCAAATGTAGTCCAAAACCAAAAATTTTTGGCTGTGTCATGTTAGGCCCTCAGAATATTTTGGATTTTGGTGTATTTTGAATTTCAAGACTTTCAGATTAGGGATGTTCAACTGTTTAAGTCTATGAAAATATTTCAAAATCTGAAAACGCCTTAAATCTGAAATGTAAACATTTTGGATACTCAATTTATACTCATCCACACTAGGATCATATGTTATTATCAGACTATACACGGACTCCAGCTGATATCATGGAGAGGTAGTTCAAGTTCTGGCTGAGCCACTTATGTTCAGATTCTTGGAAAATTAATATAATTTCTCTGAAGCTTGGTTTCTTCATCTCTAGAAAAAGTAAAGTAATGCATATCTTCTGAGATGTAAGAATTAGAAGCAATACAGATTAGTCACAGAGTTAAGCAGGAGATGAGAAAGGTTGAGCTTTGGCAATAAACTAGTTAAGAATACAGTATTAAAAAATTCAGATGAAAACTCAGGGCTCTTGAGTCCTCATTTTAAGCTTTCACTGTATGCTAAGGTGTTTACTGCAGTAATAGTAAAGAAGAAAGTAACATAAGAAATTTGAATCACTTTATTTAAACTTTTTAGGTGGTTAAGATTAAAATGGCAATAGTTGGGGATTTTGTGTTGATAAATATTTACTGAATTATGTGTAAAATTTTGAAAATACCAAGTATAATATGAAAATAAATATTTAACTTTCCTTAAAACTTTTGAGTTCTGAAGTAAAATAAGGTTCTTACACTAGCTAGCTGAGAAGTGGACATTTCTTAAACAATTCTCATGCATAAATCTAATTTCAAGTTACCTGAAAGATGTGCTGCATCTTGGCTGGTCCGAAGGGCTCTGAAGTTAATCAGTGGTTTGTGATCACAGGCATGGTTTTCAGTTGATTCTCTTCTTTGATGAATCAATAGACTCAGGCAGGTAGCCTGATCTCTAAAGTGCTGTTGGACTATTGAAATTCTGTGGCTTTTGACTTAAATGTGCCTTACAAAAAAATGGTGCATGTTCATGTTACATTGCCATTGAAACTAAAGGAAGTGAAAATTAGGAATAACTGAGAATTTTATACCGACATTGGCATACAGTTGTGCAGATCGAACCTAACATATGTAAATCAGATGTGTGTATGCATATATATATATATGTATATATATATGAAGGTTGAGTATTAAATATCTAAAATGTGGTGCCAAATTGGGTCTGGAGTTATCGGAAAAATCTAGGGGAGCTTTCCCAAAATATGCTTGTTTCTGCCTGTTCTTTATCTTTTTTCCCCTGTTGCTGGGGAATGAACCAGCATGTGTTATACCATAAGGCTATATCCTTAGGGTCTCTACTCTTTGTTTATCATTAGTTTAGAATAAAATATGTTGAAGGGTGTTTAAAAATATGGTGAATGGATAATAAGTTCTTGCTTGCATTGATGTCTGTGCTAAAAGTTGTTCACATATATTTAGTTTATTTCTCTTATTTTTGAAATTTTAAATCCTTGTTTTAATAGTTGAAATTATAAGAGCAAAGAAACTTACATCAAAATGCATAGCTTAAAGTGCTAAGATTAGATATCCACAGTTTCAGAGTATAACCAGTAGACTTTTCACATTCTCCCACAAATGTCATACTAAAAAATTACTGCACTTATCAAGTGCTTCAGAAAGGGCATAAAACAAACAAAAATGTGCTTTTGTATTTTAATGTTTATATTCAGTACCATGTTCCTCCTTTTAAGACTTATGTATTTGACTTGTTTAAACATTTTACAAATTAAGTAAAATGAAGCTTTTAGATATCTACACTTAACTTTATCATTCATAAGAAAATATTTTAAGTATTTAAATCTTTTAGTTCAGTATGAATATTTAATATTTTCATTTATTATTAGGAGCAGGGTACTAGTATTTCCTTTAATTTGGTGATGTAGGCATCAGGCACGTGTTTTCACTATATGATAATGGTTTTCCAGTCTAGGTCCCTAAATGAGGCTGGAATATGAAGCTAATTTGAAAAAGATAAGCCAGTGAAGTTTTTCTTGACTTTTGCCAAGGTTGCAGAGTGAAGTTATACAGTTTAGATTAATGTTTAGGAAGCTCAGGAGAGTGTTGTGTGCCTCTAATCCTAGCTACTTGAGGGAACTGAGCAGGAAGAGCCATTGAACTCAGAAGTTCAAAGCCATTCTGGGCCACATGGTGAGACCATGTCTCAAAATCCAAAAACTAAATTAATGCTTAGAATTGAATGAGAATGTTACTCATAGTGATATTCAGAATTTTGAAAGTGAATATTCATCTGTGTCAAATCACGATTTCCAAGGTATATTTTCTTGAGATCTTGGTGAGAGAAACACCCAACTTTCCTCTTTATATTATTCCATTTACTGTCCTCACTTGTTTATTCTGTATTTTTTTTTTAGTTTCTTTTTAAGAAGATTAAATTTCTTATCTGTGTTTAGTAATTTTTGTTTAGAGTCTTTGTTAAGAATCAAGGAAAAATACCTTTCAGAACCTGTTATAAAAAGATAAGGCACTTTTAAAAAATTTAATTTAATTAAATTTTGTGGCATTGGAATTGAGCCCAGGGCTTTCCCATTGAGTTACATCTCCAGCACCTTTTTTAAAAATTTTGAGACAGGGTCTCACCAAGTCACCAAGTTGTCCAGGCTGGGCTCAAACTTGTGATCCTCCTGCCTCTGCCTCCCAGAGTACTAGGAGTCTGAATAAGATTAGACATTTTAAAAATTGAGAAGTTAATACATTTTAAAAATTGAGAAATGCATGCCTTTAATTTAGAGTCCTAAATAAACATACAAATTTAGTGTTTGCTGTAAAAATGGCTGTGTTTAAGTTATGTTTTAATCCATTTTAAAAATTAAGAAGTTTGAGGATAAAATCATTTTGAATATGATTGTGAATATTCAGAATGATTATAGTGGGTTGGGGAGGTAGCTCAGTAGTATAGCACTTGCCTAGCAAGCTCAAGGCCCTTGGGTTTGATTCCTGGTACAAAAACAAAACAAATCAAAACAAGCCAAAGCCAAATGATTGCAGTTACTAAAAAGTGAATTTTGGAAATTGAAAGGTTTTCGGCATTAGTGTTTTTGTTTCTCAGGTAACTTTAGTGAAACTTTGGAAATTAAAAGATTTGTGGCATTAGTGTTTTTGTTTCTCAGATAACTAGTATTTAGAGCAAGTGATGGCAAAGTAATAGTGGCTTGCTTGAGTGCTTTGCATGGCCCAGGAGCTAGGAGTAGTTTTGCACATGATCTTTTGGAATCACGTTTGATGATAGAGAGTATCACCAATTACTCCAAATGTCATTTATCGACCCCTCAAAAACTGCATTCTCTATTTTATTTTACAGATAATAAAACCATACAAAATAAAACAATAAAGCCAATCAAAAACAAAACAATGAAAGTGATGAAGGACTTCAAAACAAGATAATAGGAAGTCAACAATGGCTACCATAATATATCTTGTTATCTTCAAAATAGCTGCTCATACTATCAGACATAGTAAAAATCAAACAAAACAAAACAAAACAAAATTAAACCAAACAAAACAAAACAATGAAAAGGATACAGGACTTTAAAACAAGATAATAGGAATTTAACAATAGATACCTTAATGTCTCTTGTTATCTTCAAAATAGCTGTCCAGACAATCAGACATAAGCATATAAAATTAACCAAATAATACAAGAACTGAGTTTCTTTGTTTCAGTTGTTAT